TGTTCATCATATTAAATAATAACTTTAAAATATTTAAACTTTTTTATTTGAGATATAATTTTTAAATTATATTTTAAATATTAAAATGAGATCTCTCAATCTCACTGTTAGATTATTACCAACTTGTCTTCTTATTGAAATTATCCGAATATCATTGCAGGGAACACGTGGATCATGGTATTATTGCAGCTGCCCAAAGTCTTCTACAGCAAGAGTGGGAGAAACATGTAGGTCGTGTCTAGTTACTAAAATAAAATAAATTAAAAAAATTAAAATTAAAATAAATTAAATTACTTTTCTTATAATAAATACGATAACGCTCATTAATATATATTATAAATATAAAAATTATTATATTTTTTAAAAATTTTATGAATTATAATTTATAATTTCATGAATTAAATTATTTTTTTTTCTTATGAATGTATTTATTTATTTTCCTTAATTATTTTATTTTTATTTTTATTTTTATTTTTTTAATTCATTTTATTTTATTCTGTTAGCAAATGTGATTCAAATTCGTGACTGTAATCAGTGGGCGGATTTCTGTGCTAAGCAAGGCTTGTCAGCCATACTTTTCCATGCCATTTATCGCGTTCCCAATGAGTTGGTAAGGTTGACGCAGGATAATGATTGTAAGTAATAGGCTGAATGTGTCTGCTAGGCCGTAGCAGGTCTTAGTTTTCTTTTACTTATTAAAAAAAAATTATTCAAATATCAACTATTCAATTTTTAATCTAAAGCAAAGGATATGAATAAAAGGAGAAAAAAGATAAGCATTCAGGTGGTTTAATAGCAATCCTGTCACTGTCCCTCAGAGTTGGGGGCAAAAACTTCCGACCAATAAATCTATATTTAATGTCTCGTATCTTATCATGTCATCTGCTGTTAAAATAATTTAATTTTATAAAATAATTCTTTCACAATTTATTCCATCACTTAAGATATATTTTATGTACTAATAATTCAAAATGTTTTTTTATTTTTAAAACTTGTTTTGAAAAATTACTTTGCAGATTTGTTTAAAACATATTTTTCTTAAATAAATTAAATTGAAGTTTGAATAAGTTAGATTATAAGTCCGCAAGCCTTTAAGATTATTCAAATTATTTGTAAGAACTCACCATTTGGCTTATTTAAATCGTGGTCTAACTTATTTAACAAAAATCTGTTAAAAAAGAATCTGCAGAGTAATTTTTTAGAATAAGTTTTAAAAATAAAAAATTATTTTAAATTATTAGTATAAAAAAAATATCTCAAGTGATGACATAAATTATGAAAAAATTATTTTTTTAAAATTAAATTATTTTAACATGAGAATATGAGACATTAAATATGAATTGAATGGCTAGGATTTCTAGTGCTAGGGGTGCTGAGAGGATGGCTTAGAGGATCCATATCCAAAACATGAACAGAGGATCTAGATTCATCTGACATATCAACATGACAAATGAACAGATAATATTTGAATGAAATTTAGTAAGCTAATACAATACTTGACATGCGAAACGTACTTTTTTAAAAGAAAATGAGAAAATGTATTTTTATTTTCTCTCAAGAGAATATCTTTTTCAACGCTAGACATTACCCAAATGGAAAAACTTATTTACTTATAGATTTTATCATGTTAATAATATTAATTACAAGAAATTATTACATCATAAATAATTTATAAAAGATATACATTACTTTTTCATATAAGATTAAATTAAAAACAAACATTTTAAGCATATAAAACTCAGTATATACTCCCTCCGTAAAAAAATATAAGATATTTTTTGAATAGTTGAGTGTTTAAAAATGTTAGGCATTTTTTGAGTAGTTGAATGTTTCAAATTGTAAGACATTTTTAATATTTTGATGTGTAATTATTATATTTTTTTTAAAAGTGCCCTTATTAATAATGACTTCATATTTATTGTAGGGTATTTAATAGGGATAAATGTGAAAAGATAGGATTAGTTGAAAAGTAAGTAATTATTTTATTGAGAGTGAGGTTCAGTTAAAAATATCTTATATTTTTAAACGGAAGAAGTAAGTTTTTTTTTTATCTAAATGTTTTGCATCGAAATAAAATTCTTTATTAATCGTTGCCTATTTGTCATGTGTGCTTCGAAAATATCATTGAAGCTATTGGTGAATTTAAAGTTGTTTGAAGACTTATGGGAATCAAAGAAAGATCATATTTACGGTGGCAGAAGCAACATGATACTAACAATTTGAGAGGGCTCATTGGAAGGATGACATTAAATTGACGAAAAAATTCTATTGGTAAAGACAGCTTTTAATGTGGCGATATATATACATTTCTTCAAGCAGCCATTCAGATTTGGACTAGGCTTATATATTTACCTTTATAAATTTAATATACTCATGATAAATAAATCTTAATGTGCAACTAAAATCAATAACAATAATTTATTATAAAATAAATAATTGGGTTAGTGAGCATTATAGACCTTAAATTATTGTGTGAATAATGTTTTGAACCTTAAATTTTTAAAATATAAAAAAACTTTCATCGACTTCTACAATTCAGATGTTTGAAACCTTCTATTGAGTTGAAGAAAATAATTATTATTTTTAAAGTTAATACGAGTGTGACATCAATATGTGAGTGAGCCTACAAATATAAAAGTAATAATTATTTTCTCTAACTTAATTGTAGGGTTTGAAACACACAAAATATAAAAGTTGATGAAAGTTTTTACACAATTTAAAAATTTAAATGTCATAAAATTATTTGTATAATAGATTAAGATCTATGATATTCATCAACTCTAAATAATTTATATAAAATTTATATATCTTGATTTAATTAAAAACAAACACGTTAAATATATGAGGCTAAACATAATATATATATATATATATATATTTCCCTAAACATTTATATAGAAGTAGATTCATCCATAATCCAAATACCTTGGGACGCTAATCTGGCAATCCGGTAGTATTTTGTACATAAAATATTCAAAAAACATATTAATTTATCATACCTAATTGGAGCATTTTATTTTTTATTTTCCAATTCAACTACGGACGAATTTTTTTAAATAATTTTCACTCTAAAATTATAATATTTTTAGTATTAATTATTTTTGCACAATTTTATGTTTCGATAATAATAATTTTTGTTTTGGGTAACAAGTCAACCTATCTTATACGTGTCAATTTCTATATTTGTTTTGTCCTCCGATATACTCCTTTTGTTTTCATTTATAAAAAAAAAAAACTGTCACTTTTAATTTATTTTTTATATAAGTAAAATTATATTTTTTAATAAGTATTTATTATATATTTTTTAAATTATTCCTCATAATTTTATCATTTTCAGTTATGATAAATAATTAATGAAGACTTGAATAACATAATTAATAAAAAGGTATTATAGTCTAATTTTTTATTTTCAGACACAATTAATATAATTAATTAATTTTTTTTAAATTGGGGGATTAATATATTTTTAAATATAATTAAAACATATTTCAAAAATATCCTTTTTAAAAAATATAAATTACATATTAAAATGTTGCTATATTTAAATGATGGCAGACATTGAAAGAAAAAGCACACCCTTGCAAAAACGTTAAGATTTTAATAAGTTCTAAATATGTGCATTTTTAAAAAAAGATTGAGACATGTAAGATATAATTAAAAAAATATAATTATTAGTCTCTATAATTTTATCATATTTTATTGTTAATTTTTTTTTTCCATTGCTCTTGGTATCTCTAACTTTTCTCATCTATGATGTTAGTTCTTTTATTTTTAAATGTATTTGTAGGAATGATAATGTAATACTAATGGTGTGAAATTACCTAGCATGTAGCAAATATCATTTCATTACTCATCAAATAGAGTATAGATTTTATTTTGTTTGTTTTTATAGATTTCGAACTCTTCTCTCCACCTTTGTTTTGATTTCGTCAGCCACATAAAGATACCCTATTATATAAATAAGATTAAAATTATTTTTTTTCTTTTACTCTATAAATAATATCAGAGTAGCATAAGTATATATTGATTTTGAAGCAATCGATTGCAATTTTTTTTTGGCTAGCAGTGAGGTTTATTTTGCTTTCGTGTAGGCAAGCGTAGTTTTCAATTTCTTCTACTTAATTTTCATTACTTTGTATTTTGTGATTATTCTGTCTCTGTTTTTTAATCTTAACATTCAGCCCAAAATTTAATACTGTTAGTTATACGTTATACTCCCTCCATGTTAAATTATAAGATATTTTTAAATAAAATTTTATATATTAATAAATTTCATTAAATATACTTAATAACCTTATCTTTCTAAAATAAAAATATAAATTTTAAAAATATCTATAATTTAATATATTAAAAAAAGAGATAAAAACTAATAACAGAGAGATAGAAATGGTAATATTAAAATTAATGCATTTAATAAAATTTTAATCTACTTAAAATATCTTATATTTTGAGATGGAGAAACTTTTTTAAAAATATTTTATAATTTAAAATAGTGAAAGTATAATTTAACATTATTAGTGTTATACATCACCGCACTAGACATATTTAAAAATAAAAAAATTAATGTTATAGATGAGAAAAACAATAAGGACTCCAGAAAAAAAAAGACAAAACACTAATTGTTTTTTTTTTTTCAAAAACACAGATGTAATAATTTGTATAAAAAATAATTAATATTATAAGATATTTTTAAATGTATAAAAAATATCATAAAAAATAATATATTTTTATTTTTATTTTTAATTTTAAATAATGATATAATTATATTAAATATTTTTATATTAATAAAAAAATAAAATTAAAAAATAATTTAATTGTTATAAAGTATGATATATTTTTGATTAAAAATTACTTTTTTATGTCTGACAACACAGATGTAATAATAATAATAATCAAGGGGAGAAACGATTTTCGACCACAGTTAATTTGTAATAAAACGATTTTCATTTAATATACTCGTAACCTGCATTAATTCCTAATAAATTTTTCGCATTGTTGTAGACCAAACAGAATCCTTTATTTTCAGACCTTCAATGCTGAATTTGAGCTTGTCTTCTTCCTTCTTCCTTCTTCCGGTTCATCACCTCCTCCGTTAACAATCATAGCTAGGGTTTCATTTGGGAATAAGTCTCCGATTGAGCTTCCTCCTTCGTTAAGGAAGGGGTTTTGTTGTCATTTATATGTAGGTTTTTCATGATCTCGCTCTTCTGATCTGTGTTGTTATCTGCTGCTTGAATTTCCGAGTCCTGTTTGTAAGTGACGGATTCGCATTATTTGTTTGGTGATGGTTTGTATAAGAAGAAGGGGAATTGAACGGTTGTGTGGTGGAGATTGAATTGTTTGGCCGTGGCTCTTTGATAGGTGGTTCTTTTATGCCGATTGCTATGATTTCATTCCTATTTTCTGATTCTTTTCAAGGTAAAGTTAATGTACCTATTTCATTTTATAAATATTTCGGGTCTTTTCTACAGGTTCTAATATCTGGGATTTAGTTTGCCACCATGTCGGTGAGTGAGCGCAAGACGATCTACCTAGAACAAGGATGGGATTTCATGCAGAAGGGCATCAAAAAGCTCAAGAATATTCTTGAAGGATTGCCTGAGCCTCAGTTTAGCTCCGAGGACTATATGATGTTGTATACGTATCCGTCTCTGAGCTGTTTCATTGTTAACATGTTTTGTCTATACACTTTTTATTTGTTTGATCTCTTCTGCTTGAGTAGATCGCATATTTTCGTTAGGCACTGCATTTCCTTAAATCGTGTTGCAGGTATATCTACAATATGTGCACTCAAAAGCATCCTTATGATTATTCTCAGCAACTTTATGACAAGTACAGGGAATCGTTTGAAGAGTACATTCTATCAACGGTGAGTAAGCCTACTGTCTGGATATCTTGTGGATAAACTCGCACGTTGTGGACTATCTGCGGTTTGTTGCGTTACAGTCTTAAGTTTTGCTTTTTTCCTGGGAGGGTAACACTTGCCTAACCTCATGACATTAAATGTCATGTCGTTTCCCATGGCAATGAATTTGACGAAGGTTGTATAATCACGACTTAAATGGCTAATTGACAAGCTTTTGTTCTATTTAAGAAGGCATATCATGTTGTTCTTACAAGAAATCCTAGAAGATGGAAAACGAGTAACTAATGGGGTATGATATTGATTATGTCAAACTTATTTATAAAGCTACCGTTGCATCACAATTGTAGTGATAACAACTTCTGAATGACATGGAATGTAATTCACACTTCATGATTTGGAAGACATTTTATTAAATATTCAAATATTTTTATTTGATTCTGAATTTATGACAATATACTAATGAAGCAGATGTGTATATATCTATGTATGTGTGATTGGCTCGCTTTTGTAGCTATTGTTTTTGCATTTAACTGTGATTGGCTCTTAATTATTATGAGGGTGATCTTATTCATCAACCATTAGTGGGGTGAGAATTTAGACTGCGTTTGGTCAATGAAAAGTGGATTTGAGGAGAGGAAAAGGTGAGGTAAAGTATTTTTAGCAGTTGACAAAGTGGCTTTCTTGGAAAAAGAGCGTTCTTACCGAGGGGGCTCGTTGTTGTAAGACTATTTGTTTAATGTGTTTGTTGCTTCTTCTTAGCAGGCCTATTAATATAACAATGTATTTCTTCCATCTTCATACGTAACAGTTATTTTTCTTAATAGCAATAATTTGGAACTGAATCTTTCAATTGGAAGACTCAACATTTTCCATAATAAACAATTTAAAATTTTTAATGTCTTAATAAAACATCATAAAATAACTACTACCTAAAATTTTTCCTACTTCCTTTAAAGACGTAATTTGCAAAGTAGTAAATGATCCTCATAGGATAAAAGCAGTAGCAATATATCATTGATTTATGAAGTAATAGCAGTGTTTATCTTTGATTTTTGCATGTGCTCCGTGTATGGAGTAAACTTTTAAGAAAGCCTATAATGGAAGATATTTCACTTGAGGAAATGCAAGTGGCAGTTGATATTATATCCATGTTGTACTATCAGGAACAAGATGAAGAAAGTTTATAGATCCATATGAACTTTCTGAAGCTGTTAAGAATGAAAAGTGTGAATAGTCCATGTTCTCGGAGAAAGAAAAGATAACAAGACACAATATGACTGCCTCTTTCCAACATCAGATCCATATTTATGTGAGAATGAGGCACATAAGTCATATAAATATATAACTAGTTTTTTTTTTTTTTTTTGTTTTCTCGTAGATGTGGAAGTAAATTTTAGCTCTTCAAATTTAACATTGACATATTCTTCTTGACTAGAAAATACCCTGCACTTAATGTGATTATGTGAAAGGTATGAGCTCCCTGTTCATGAATGATTTAGTTGATTCCTTACATTATGTAACCACCACTTGGTTTGAAGGCAGTACTTTCAGGGTGATCTGTCCTTTATCTTATGGAGATGCTCTTGGAAGATTTTGTGGGATAGTTCCCACTTAGTTTCGACTTTGATGTATTTTAAAAATCATTAGATAAACCTCAAATTTTGTGATGAGTTGTTTTTTTGGGGTCATGTCTAGTTTATTGTACTCATTTTTTGTATTTGTTGGTTGCTTCTATTTTCTTTCAGGCATTTCTTCTAATAAGATACCATCTTTTTGTTTCATTTAGGTATTACCTTCTTTGAGAGAGAAGCATGATGAATTTTTGTTGAGAGAGCTAGTGAGAAGGTGGGCAAACCATAAGATTATGGTTAGGTGGCTTTCCCGCTTCTTTTACTATTTAGATCGCTACTTTGTTGCTCGGAGATCGCTTCCACCTCTTGAAGATGTTGGACTGAGCTGCTTCCGGGATTTGGTAATGCAACAGCTGAACCTTCTATGGGATTATGTTATTCTTTCTGTTGGGATGAGCTTTCTAGTGCTAGTACTGAAATTAGTTTTATTGCAAATCAATTTTATGGGCTTCTGTATGTACAGGTATACAAGGAACTAAATGGTAAAGCGAGGGATGCAGTTATATCTCTTGTAAGTTGTCCTGCTTAATTTAGTGAGATTTTCAGTAATGCAAATTTATATGAATTAATCATTTTTTTTAAAGATTGATCAAGAACGGGAAGGAGAACAAATTGATCGAGCTTTATTAAAGAATGTCCTGGATATATTTGTTGAAATTGGAATGGGGCAAATGGATTGCTATGAGAATGATTTTGAAGCTGACTTGCTCAAAGACACCTCCGCATATTATTCTCTAAAGGCTTCCAACTGGATCCTTGAAGATTCTTGTCCTGATTATATGCTCAAGGTATGTTTTCTCAGTTGTGTTACTGTAACGTGTTCATTCCATTTACATTACTGTATATAATTGGCTCTGGTGTTTATAGGCTGAGAAGTGCTTAAGGCGTGAAAAAGATAGGGTTGCTCATTACTTGCATTCTAGTAGCGAGCCAAGGTTACTTGAGGTTTGTTGTTGACCAGCTGGTCTACTACTATGTTAATGGGTCATATCTTGCTTAGCTTCTCCCAAAAAAAAAAAAAAATTGTTATGGGCTGGTGAATTTTGTGGTTCAATTTCAAAGTTTCTTAACAACTTATGATGCTTCTGTTGTTCTTGTGGAAAAATATTTCTAGAAAGTTCAACATGAACTTTTAACTGTGTATGCGACCCAACTCCTTGAAAAAGAGCACTCTGGATGTCATGCATTACTTAGAGACGACAAGGTATTTGGTAAACTCTTTTCACTTATGATGCCTAGAATTGTTTTACAGCCTGCTAAGATGTAACATGTTTAATGTTTCCATTAAATGATTAGATTGAAGACTTATCACGGATGTTCAGGCTCTTTTCTAAAATACCTCGGGGGTTAGATCCTGTTTCTGGCATATTTAAGCAGGTTGATACTGTTGAGCTTATCTTTCTGCTTTTCCTCCCTGGTTTGTGTGCCTATGAGAAGTGGGATCGTGTTGGCTTGGTTAAATGATGTTGTCTTTCCTTCCATATTGTAGCATGTTACTACTGAAGGAATGGCATTGGTGAAGCTGGCTGAAGATGCAGTTAGTAACAAAAAGGTCCGTTCCCGATCAGTTATTTAGTCTACTGTTTATTCATTTATAGTTTGAGATTATTAAATGTAAAGTTTTACTTGGGCATACATTACCTTCCATGTTCAGAACTAATAATTGTCCTGTAGTGCATGTATCATGCTTTAGAAAGGTTTTCCAAATAAAGAATTGATTCACATCATGTAAGATATGGCAATAAATTGATAAAGAAACATAATATAAAATATGCACATGCCTACAACGTGAATAAATGAATAAAATACCCAAAATAGTTCATTTAAACCCCACTGAACTGAAGTACCTGAGTATATTTATATATCTTAGATGAGCTGTAAATAAGTCAATGATCTTCTCCAGTTACACAAATACACACGTGAATAGTTATTTTCTGAAATTGGTCTTTAATTATCTGTTATGGATGGGACTCCAAAAACTGAAATTTACGTCTTTCCTCTATGCTTACTGAGTCAGAATTATCATGCAGCAATGTAAAGTTGAAATGATTTGGTTCACCCCCCCCCCCGTTTTTTTTTGGTTGCAAAATGTTTCACAAGCAGATTTATGATGTCACTAAAAGGTTATAAGGTGCAAGTGAAAGTAATAATACTGAAATTCTAATTACAGTGTACATAGCTAGTTCATTTGGTTTAAATCAAATGTTTTTGCTCTAGATCTGTACGGGGTTCCTGTGAAGTACTAGTATCATTAAGTTCTGAAGAGCCCAAGGATCCACATTTTTGGCAACCAATAGCTTCAAACTGTCTTATCATTCTGAAAATGATGCGATCTGAAGAAATTTTATTTTTACTCCTTACTTTGCTATTTTTATCTTTCTGATTAATATGCCTACAGGCAGAGAAAAGGGATGTTGTCGGCATGCAGGAACAGGTAATAGCTGAAATTTCTTAATTCGAAGACAAAGCAATTTTCTTGTGTGAGGAAACTGAAATTGGTTTCTCTCCAGGTTTTTGTTCGGAAGGTGATTGAGCTGCATGACAAGTACCTGGCTTATGTGAATGACTGTTTTCAGAATCATACACTTTTCCATAAGGTTTTGATCAGACAATGACTTTGAAATTGTTATGTGGGATAATTATACTGTTATATAGCTAAAAAGTTTTGATCTTGCAGGCACATAAGGAAGCTTTTGAGGTCTTCTGCAACAAGGGTGTTGCTGGAAGCTCAAGTGCAGAACTGCTTGCAACTTTTTGTGACAATATTCTCAAGAAAGGAGGAAGTGAAAAATTGAGTGATGAAGCAATTGAAGAAACTCTTGAAAAGGTCTGCATTAATATAGATGTACCACGTGCTTTTGTAAACTTGATTCTTGACTTCGATATTTTTGGATTTGTCTATGTGCAGGTGGTCAAGCTGCTTGCCTATATTAGTGACAAAGACATGTTTGCTGAATTCTATAGGTAAAATTAAAGGATAAAGGGAATTTTTGTTGATGATTAAGTTTTATTATTGCTTTTCTATGGTGTTCTACGTTTTTCCATAACTTCATTTGTTCATTTATTTCATTAAATCAGGTAAGATGTTCTAAAAAATTTATCGGTCATTAGCAACTGTGTTTTTAAAAAAATTTCTGCCACTATTTTTTTGATTCATTTCCAAGAAACAAATTCAGGGTTGCTTTTTTCTTTTTCATTTATTTTAAGTAGAACTAGAAGCAGCAAGTGTTAGCACTCATACTGCTGCATAAAAAGGTAGAAGTTTATTGTTGAAAACACCTAGAATGAGAGATAAAATGTGGTTAAGATATTAAGAAAACGATAATGGAAACACGGTGGTATCAAATGAAAATTGAGAGACATTTGGGCTATGCGCACCATCACCATCACCATCGTCTTAAGATTTACAGCCCTTGGCCTACACTCATTGTTTAATCTAGCAAACATTTTAGTGGGGATAATGTGGAGAGTTACCCTCTTGCTCGCTTATGAATAATAAAGATGAAGCAGCCCAAAACTATATATTCCCTTGTGTCTTAAGCCGGTGACTGATACAACAGATATAGTAGAGGTGGCAACTGGCAACAGATCTGCTACTCAATCCCTTGAATTGGGACTGAAGAAATAGGAAGAATAAGAACAGAATGATATTGAACATTAAATCCCTAGTAATCAGGAAAGAACATTCGACAAATAAACAGCATTAAAAGGAGAAGATAATAACAAACTAATTGGTCCCAACAAGAGATATCATTGGCAAAAAAAGAAAAAAAAAACTATTATAGAGATATCTAGATGTTCCTTTTATAATCTTGGCAAAATCATAATGTTTCATCATGATACTAATGACAGGGGTTAAACGTTAAGGGTCATTGTAGCCTTCTGCAAATCTTGAAATGTGGATTTTTACCCTAAATCAAATTTTTAACATATTACCAAATGCTATTATTGTATCATAAGGCTACTCAGAAACAATCTCTTGTGGTGATACTTGAAATAGCAGAAGCACCCTGTTTCTATCAGATCCTTTGAAAGAATACTCATGATCTTGCTTGATTGCTTGCAGGAAGAAGCTGGCTCGGAGGCTTCTCTTTGACAAGAGTGCCAATGATGAACATGAGAGAAGTATCTTGACAAAATTGAAGCAACAATGTGGTGGTCAGTTTACTTCAAAGATGGAAGGAATGGTCAGTCTCCTTAAAGTCTATATGAATTGAACTGATATGCGACAATCAGGTGCTGTGGTTGGATATTTAAAGAAAATATTCAAGTGCTTGTTGTTGCTCCCACCAGGTTACAGATTTGACTCTGGCGAGGGAAAACCAAGCTAGTTTTGAAGAGTACCTCAGCATTAATCCTAATGCAGACGCAGGACTTGACCTGACAGTCACAGTTCTGACTACTGGATTCTGGCCAAGTTACAAATCTTTTGATCTCAACCTTCCAGCAGAAATGGTATATCTGGATCTTTTTGCCCAGTGTTCTATACTAATTAACCAGCATTTTGTTGATATTTAATGTCCCTTCCTCTTCCTCCATTTTGGATAGGTCAAGTGCGTTGAAGTTTTCAAGGAGTTTTATCAAACAAAAACAAAGCACAGAAAATTGACATGGATTTACTCCTTGGGTACCTGCAACATAACCGGAAAATTTGATGCAAGACCTGTGGAGCTGGTTGTGACAACCTACCAGGTTATATTCTTATCACATGCTTCTTTTGTATAAAAGTATTACTTGTTTCTCACCCCTTCATTTCAAATTTTTGGGTGTCCAATGATTCCTGTTTGGGTTTCTTATGCTGATTGTGTTTTCTCTTGTTTTTCGATAGGCTTCTGCGCTGCTTCTCTTTAATTCTTCAGATAAGTTGAGTTACTCAGAGATATTGACTCAGTTGAACTTGACTGATGATGATGTTATTAGACTGCTTCACTCCTTGTCATGTGCCAAGTACAAGATTCTTAACAAGGAGCCAAGCACAAAAACAATATCATCTGCTGATATTTTTGAATTTAATTCAAAATTCACGGACAAAATGAGGAGGATTAAGGTACTGATATTTGTAAATGCACGAACTAGCATGGTTAAATCCCCCCCCAAAAAAAAAAAAAAAAAAACCCTCTTATCTGACGTGTTTGGTGATCTAAATCCCTGTTTGACTGACTACGCTGAGATTGTGGCACCTTTCTATTGCAGATTCCTCTTCCGCCCGTAGATGAGAAGAAAAAAGTAGTTGATGATGTCGACAAGGACAGAAGATATGCTATTGATGCATCCATTGTGCGTATTATGAAGAGCAGAAAAACTTTGGGTTACCAACAGTTAGTAATGGAGTGTGTTGAGCAGTTAGGGCGCATGTTCAAGGTCTATATTCCACCACTTGTTTTATTTTCTGCCTGCCTGCCTGTCTTATTCTCTATCTAATGTGTGTTTGGAACGTAATTATGTATAGCCTGATGTCAAGGCAATTAAGAAAAGGATTGAAGACTTGATCTCTCGGGACTACTTGGAAAGAGACAAAGATAATCCCAATCTGTTCAGATACTTGGCTTGAAGCTGCCTTGACGAGCGTGCAAATGAAGGGGGTCAGTGGCCGCTGCGAATGGCTAAACAAGAGGATGATGTCTAAACTCGTAAAAATTGAGCGCTTCTTAGTAATAGCCTTGAAAAGGAAACTGCGAGTGTTTTTACATGTTGCCTCCATATCCAGGTATGGGCTATTGCTACAGATGTGTGCTCAACATTAGAGAAATTGTAATTTTATTCCATAATTTGATCCGGCGCACTGGTCTCTTCGCTATCTTTTTCCCCTTCCCCTGCATTTCCATTTTGTTACTTACTTAAGCTAAAACCTACCCGTTAATCTCCCCGCCCAAAAGAAAATAGGTATTGTGTAATCTTTCATTGAAGTTGTGTTTCTGATTCTCTTAGTAGCCCATGGGATGAATGGTATGCTTTTTTCTAATCCAAATTCTAAAGCTGATGCTTTACATGAACAGTCTATAGTTATCTCTTTACGGTGGCATCTTTATTTAGTGTATGGGGTCATAGCCTAGTTAGATGAAGTCTCATCAGTGCTTTCGGTTTTTCTAAAGATTGGGGCTATCTCTTTTTAGTTGTCCGACATGGGGATCAGTATCTTTATTCTGTGGTATTATTATAGTGGCTAGCATTATCCTAAAAGATTCTCTATTTAGCTGTTTCTTTACTTGTGATTGCTTTCCATAAAGGCGGTGGTTTTGTACTTGGCATGCCCCCTCCTGGATTGTATTAATGCCAAAAACAATCTTTGTCCAACCTTGGATGCTTCATGCTTAGTTTGCAATAAAGTTCGATAAATTAAACAAATCATAAATTAATATTTTATTCCTTTATCAGTTGGTAAGGATTTTGCTCCTGACTTATGAGGCTGTGGATGAAATCCTGTGGAGTGAGGATCTTCTTGGTGGGTAACATGTAATTGGTGAGTAACATGTAAATATTTTTGTAAGCAGTTTTTGAGCTTTAAAGTATATCTTAGCTCTGGTGAGCTTTTTAACTCATCTAAATTTTCTTGTTATAAAAAGAATATGGTATTTCTTCATGTTTTCATTTATGATTTGCTGTTACTTTGAATTTCTTACTTATTGTTTAGTTGGTAATAAAATATGCTGAAAAATGTAAAGCTTTTTAGCTGAATGCTGTGTACTTGTTCTTGATTCTCCTGAACGCTATTGTGCTTTCTTTTACTTGGGCATTACGTGGAGTCTAAGGAATTAGTCCAGTACTCCAATTTTTTAGGCTTTTAGGCTTCTGATTATTGCTGATCAGTTTGAATTGAGCAAGACTAGGTGACATTAGGTGGGACCCTCATTATCCTCCATTGTAGTGCATCAAGTCATGTTAATTTATATGGAAAAACGTTGAGGATAAAAATGAAGAAGTATTGGAGAAATTTAATTAATTCTCATAGCTTTGATCTAAACTTTATGTATGACTTAATAATTTGCTGCAATGAAACGGAAAATAAAGCTGAGATTAATAATGATTGTTGTTAGCTTATCCAACCCAAATGAATGTGCGGAAATTTGATTTAGTTATTTATGGAAAAATGTGTTAGATTTTTTTTTATTATCCATCTTTATAATCTTTGCGTTGGACTGTTATTTTTTTTATATGATTATTTGAGTGAGTCAGATTTTGAGAATTGAGTATATTAATAAAGCATAATATATATATATATATATATATGTATATAAATACAAGAATCTAATCATTGAGATGATTTAGGAAAATGATAATAAATAAGAAAGAGAAAATATATTGGATTTTTACATTTACTTTTTATGTAGATGGAGAGAAAAATAGGAAGGACAAAAAACTTCCAAAAATAATAGAGAAGTTTATTGTTTTTGAAAATTTATCCTTCTCATTTCTTCTCCATTCTATTTTCTTCATACTTTTCCCTAATTAAATGATTATTATAATTATAATAAAATAGTCATCTTTTGTCCTCTTTTGATGTCATAACCGAAAATTTCTTGTCAACCGTGAATTCACGATCATTGCCACCCTTCCAATGTCATGCGTTGCTAATCTTCACTTGCACCAGTAACACTCGCTACAAAATGATCGATCAATCCATCAATCATTATATCAATATCAGCATGAAAATTTAATTTGTTTTTGGATTTTATATGATGCATAAAATTAATGTCTAATTGAATTAAAAGATGAAGCAGTAAATTGCACTCAATTATAACATTAAATTAAATTAAATTTCATGTGTTTTCAACATTTAATTATAGTCTTCATAGTGTATCTTTGTTTTCATCGCCAGATCTAGTTTTTGTCTTAAAAAAACATGGCACAATATTTTATACATGGTGGGATTCAATGAAGTAATTAATTAAATGTCAAATTTCAGGCAAAAAAAATTAAATGTCAAATTTAAAGATAATGTTTGACTTTATTTTTAGGATGGTAAGACAGAAAGAGAAAAGTTTATTTATTTTTGAAATAAATTCATGTTAAAGAGGATATTTAATATACTTCAATAATTTTTAAATAAAAATACTAGAATTTGATCAAGATTTATTATGAGAAGTTATTCATAGTTTATATTTATAATTCAAATAAAAGAAAATCATTCACTAATTTCTGAAGGTTAAACCCTAGCCTTTCAATATAATAAACTCCTTTGGGCTTATTTATAGAATACAGAGAATATTAATTTCACATTTCACTATTTTCTATGTTCATTTTTATTTTTTTCCCCTTATTCAATGCTAAACAAATTATTAAAAATAATTTTTTTGCTCCTTATTAGAAGGTGGATGTGAAAATTTATTAAATTTTAATATAGTTAATGGGGTTTAAGCTTTTCTTAGTTTTTAGTAAAATATGTTGGAAGTAACTTATAAATAAGATCAGAAAAATTATACTAAAAAATGGACGCAAGTGGGAAATGTGAGGTAATTAAGTAATGTGGTTTTTTTTAGTGAACAATTAATGTGGTTTTGCTTTGGTGGGAGAAAGAGAAAAAAATGTGAACATAAGAAATCATAGTTGAATGAATGATGGAAGTTGAACAAACTAAACTTATTATTGCCCAGTTGCCAACCGGAGGAATTATGATCATAAAAAAGAAAAAATCAGGATTTCATTATAATCTAAATTATTAAATTTAGTACTCATTTTCTTATATTTTAACACTGAAAATCTTTTTTTTTAAATCCTGAATTGATATTAAGTCTCTTATGATCTCTTTAATTGTCATTCATACTAAAGTAAAATTTACCATCTCTTCAGCCAAATTTAGAACCAATTTCTTTTGTAATTTTTAATAAGAAATACATTTAATTAAAAAATTCAAACAATTAAAAGATACTATAATAAATTAATAATTAATATTATATATGTATGGCTCATGTGACAAATAAATAAAGATGGTCAAGTTTGGCTTTGGGGACCCATGATCCACTTAATAATAATAATAATCTTGCACACATCATCGTCCTGCTTGTCCAGAGAATTCTAATTCAAAGTCCCATATTTGAAGTCGTCACATTAAAATATTAAATACTAATTATTAAATCATTTCTTTATCACTAAACATACAATCATGAATAACTGTTCATAGATAATGTTGAACCAAAATGGAGGTTATGCAATATTGATGGTGATGTCCTGTAAGTGGAATTTCAAAGATAATTCAGTGCACTTTATGATTTTTTTTTAAATTCATTTATAATGTCATATGTGTTTCGAGAAAAATTTCACTATCCACTTGCAAGCTTGGATTGAACAACATGACGTGATTATTATTATTATATTAACATGCAATTTTTTTTAAGTGAATGGAGGCATTCCTGACATACATACATATAGGCCTGCCATTGGTATTAGTTATATTTTTTTAATATTATTTTGATTTAAACTCATTAATTGTGAAAGAAAATGTAATGTAAATTTAAAATAAAATTTCATTTAGTCAGGATTAAAATTAAAATTTTATCATATTTTTAGATAAAATTAATAATTTAACCACACATTTTTTTTTATTTTAGTAAGGTAATTCGAGGTGTTTTATAATAAGGACTAGAGTGAGTATAATTTTTGATAAATAATAAATTTAAAAAAATTGATTATTGACAAAACATAACAATAGTACAATACCATAAAATTCACGTGGCAAGCCTCACATAACGGAGCAAGACTTACGGTGTTGTTGAAAGCAATCAAAGAATTAATGAATGTGGCCGTGGGTTTGGTGTAATCATGTGATTTAAAACTGACCATATCAAATTAATCTAATAAAAATTGAATAAAATCAATTATTAATAAGGCTTAGTTTAGTTTAATAAATTTAAAAATTGAATAGTTTGGTTTATGTGTCCCCTTTTTTAAACCTTAATCAAACCTAAATCATACATTTTTGTTATTTTTAAATGTATTTTTTATTATTAATACTAGACTATTAATTAGTGTTTTTTTAATATTAATTTCAACTAAAGTCCAACCCAAACAAACTTTTTTTTTACCTTTTATTATAAATATTAAGACAATTTATAATGAATAATTGATGTTACTTACAAATGCATATACTCTGATGTTTATTGATAATAAAATTTAAATACTTTTATTTTAAATATGATGTTTGTTTCCGTTCATAAATGATCAAGTTAAGAATAGTGTGACTTGGAGTTGAAATATAAAAGAAAAAAAGGAGGGTGAAAAATTATACTAGCCTTAATATATGATTTTATATGTTAAAAATATGTATTAAAACTTGATTAATATATGAATCAAATTGAATCAAACTGTTTAGAAACCAAATCAAAATGACCATAATAAAAAATTGATCAAGTGTCACTTTTTTTGTATAAACTGATTAATTTTTATTCAAATTTTGATTAAAACCAAACCAAATCACACTTTTGATCACCTTTAATTTGACCGTGTAAAAGAGGTGATGAAGCTGCAGTGTATGCCTAATTGCTTTTCACGTTCCACATATTCTGGTGGCTTTAATCAATTTAATTATTTTAAGCAATCATTGATCATGTGCCCTTGTTCCTGTTGCCTTCCATGTTTCCAAAGTCTCACCTTGTTGCTCCTCCTCCACTTTTCTCTTGTTCTTTGTTTTTGTTTTTTAAGAAAAAAGAATATAATTTTAAATCTTTATATTTTGCCCACATCTTGCTTTTAATCTCTGTAATTTTTTTTTATGTTTTAGATCCTTATAATTTTATTTTTCATTACTCTAAATCCCTTTAAAGTCCCTACACTTTGTTCATAGATGAACCTAAAATAATAAAAAAATAAAAGTGTAAGGAATTATAATACCAAAAAAAATATAGGGACAAATAATAAAATACAAGCAAAGTACGGAGATTAAAAATTATGTTTTTCCTTTTAAATATATAAGCATATGTTTGAGAGTATATGATAAATAGGAAATGAATACTGTTAATGAAATAGAATGTAATAGATTGAGAGGGAATGGAACATTATATTGTTTAAGAGGTTTATTAAAAAATAAATAATTTCATTTAATCATTATTTAAGAGTAATTATAAAATCAATATATTTGACTTAAATATAATTACGTTTTAATTTTAAGCAATGACGATGCATGGGAGGCCAAATTGAAAATATAATATGAAGTGAGGAAGCCAAAATCTATTTTAATGTTTTTTAACAAGTAAAAGTTTTAATTCTTTTCCCACGAGCGATTAGTGTGCCCCCTACACCTACTAGATTTGTTCGTGGTTTTAAGGGGGGAGAGAGAAAGAGTGAGAGGTGTGAAAAAAATGAGAGTAATTTATAATAATATTATTTATATTATGTCATTTTATACCCAACCCTCAAATTGAGGGGTAAGAAAAAAATCTACCACCTAAAGTGAAAAGATGTGTCTTCAAAGATACAAGTGCCATTATTACATGATGAGTCTTTAATAGCAAGTAATTAAAAAACAGTATCAACAGCAGTTAGAGAACCACTATTGTTATAGGGGATATTAAAAATCAGTGATTTTCAATAACCATTAAACAATTGCTGTTGTAAATAACTTTCAACAGCAATTCCAAAACCACTATTAAAAGTAGTCAATTGCTTGAATTTTTTAAAAAATAAAGAAATTTTAACATTGGTTGCTACCAATATTTAAAGCCTTGTTTTTTTTTTTAAGATTA